ACATAATTATAATACGAAAAATGGCCATATATAAATTATATATGAATTATTTTCATAAAAAAAAAAAAAAAAATCGGCGCGCACGGGAACTGAACCTGGGACCTGACGCTTGAGAGACTAATTTATTACCTGTTTACCAACGAGACTTGCTTGAAACGAGAGTAGGTAGAGTTTGTAATAACTATAGTTAATAGCCTTAGCAGATCTGGCCAGATCTAATCTGTTTTTCCCGGGTACAAGTAATGTGAATCGTGTTCATGATCGATGCGTAATAAACAAAGTTTTTTATCAAATTTATTGCAAATTATTAATTATCAATATACGCTGATGGGAAGATTTATTAACTATTAACAAATTAATTTATTCAAAAACAATTATTTAATTTATTAAATTCTAATAAATATTTTTTAACATTCAATAAATATTTATTTGGGAGGAAAGTATATTTAGTAAAATAGTTTATAAGTATTTATTAATAGTTAACAAATATAGTTATATCTGGCCAGATATAATAAAATCTTTTTATGTCTGATTTTTTTTTCAACCCAGATATAGTTATATCTGTTTAGATCTGTTTAGATCTGATCAGATCTGACTAGATCTGATCATGTCTAATGTATTTATCAACTCAGATATAGTTATATCTGTTTATATCTGATCAGATATGACTAGATCTGTTCATGTCTGATGTATTTTTCAACTCAGATATAGTTATATCTGTTTATATCTGATCAGATATGACTAGATCTGATCATGTCTGATGAATTTTTCAACTCAGATATAGTTATATCTGTTTAGATCTGATCAGATATAACTAGATCTGATTATGTCTCCAATCCCATGTCTGATCAGATATAAATGGATCTGACCAGATATAATTAGATCTGACCAGATATAATTATATCTGGTCAGATCTAAACCGTTTTCCCCGGGTCGCTGAATGAATTTGAAACTTTCCCATTCAATTAACACGTAAATTTATATTTTTATTTTTAAATTATCTATAACTTCGCGACATTCAATGTTACTTCATCGGCCATAGGTGGAAATTGTAGGCAAATCTTTATTCTTTGAAAGTGTCGATAGCTAATTTATGTTCTCTAAACCGTATCACCGCTAAAAAATTCTTGAGTCGATTTTTGTTCAAATTTATTAGTTTTTTTTTTTTTCAATTTTTCTCGTAAAGCACTGATTTGACAACAAAATTGTATAAAAACTTTTTGATAGGAAATTGATTTTTCTATAAATCTCGTTAGATCAGTTATACCTGTAGAGTTGATTGTTTTAAAGATAAATCTGATTAAACATCTTAAAATTCGATAAATTATAATCGGTTGCATGCATACATATTACTGCTTTCTTATAATCGGCACTTTCAAAAACGTTTAATTCTGAGTAAATTTTATTTCAGATCAATACGATAGCAAAAGTTGTCTCTAAGCTATAAAAATAAAAAAAAATAAAAATCGAAGTTTACGGGTATTTTAAATAGGAAATTTCCTCACACAATCTTCGAATTTTAAAATGTTTAATCAGATTTATCTCGAAAACAATCAACTCTAGAGGTGTGACTGATCTAACTTGATTTGTAGAAAAATTAATTTTTCTCGGCTTCGCCTTGGCCAACAATTACATGTGATTTGAGACATTCCTTACTTTCCTGCTCTAGGTGAGTAATACACTATATTTAAGTAATATTCTTTGCTAATAAAATAAATCTCTATTTTATCAAGAAATATCAATTTTTCAAACCAATAATTCTACTATTGAAGGAAATATAAAATTTTGGTACAAATAATTTTTTTTTTCTCCACAAAAGCTCATGTAATATTCAAGCACATGTTTCAGCCGTCGCTGTAAGTCGAACGCCTATTGTATGAAAATAAGATGCAATTTTTGTAAGTAAAGCATTCCAAAAAAGCACTTTTCTATAAAATTTTATAAAATTGTATAAAACCCAATGAAAGTTCATTAGTTTTATATAACTTTGAGCGGCACTAAATTTTATTTTAGTTTACTTGATATTTCTGTTGTAGTATTAGTAGTTTTCGGTTCAAAATCAAAACCACGAAGGTATGGCTATTATATTAATAATTTCAAAACCAAAACTCATTTAGTGTTAGTGTAGAAAAAATCTGCTTATAGCGAGTACTCGCTATAACACGTTAAAAGGATAAAGTTTTAAATTAATTGAAATAAAATTTTAGACACATGTTTTTTCAAACGAATGCATTAACTAAATTTAATATAAATAAGTTTGTAAGATTAGTAAGATAGATTAGTTTGTTCATCAACAATGGTTATTTTAGTAACACAAAAAAGTTTTCTTTATTGATGAATGTTTTTTTTTTTTTTAAACAATTTTAGAATTTATACATTTCTTTATTTTCGATTTTACATTTTCACGAATATGTAATGGATGCACAGGTTCATCAAATTTTTTGGATATAGATAATGTACTTTTATCTTTTTTTGAAGTTATAAATGTGGCAATTGCTTTAAGACATTCTGTAGTTTCAATAAGAACTTTTCAAAATGGGTAACATGTTTATATATATGGCCGAAATTTATTGATTACATAATAATTAAGATTAGAAATATTCGAAAAGTCACCTGATTGCCACTTAGTATAGTATAATATAATTGTAAAATGTTATCGTTTTTACCTAAATACAATATGGTAGTGAATCAACGTTAAAATCAAGCTTATTAACATAAGAAACAGACAAATACACCGATAATTGTTAATTCTTCGGCATTTGCGCCGTTTTAAGATTTTTACTTGCACTATAATAGCTCCTCGATAAGCTAGGAAGTACTTGAGTCTAGTTAATATGTACACCTGTTAAGAATTCCACTTCTGTTTCACCAAAAATTGCGATTAGGACTTATCCCACTCGGAAAGACATCTAAAAATTTTTCGAGTTTTAAGTAGTTTTCTAGAAAGTTGCAAAAGTTATCAACTATGGACTCAGTTTTTATCGAGTGTCTCGACAACTGTTGTAGTTATCACAAATTTTGAAAATAATTATTATTATCATCAGTCAATTTTCATAAAAAATCTCCATGAAAGAAGGTGTAAGTTTATATAAACGTAGCCATAAATGATAAATCAACCGTAGTTTTTAGTGAAAACAATCTAAAATTTTAAAAGTGTCCATATTGACCAGAATATTTGGCGGGGATTCTTTCATAGCGCGATGAACGAAAGATTATATAATTTTTGAATTTTAATAATAAACAAAAAAAAATATCATAATATAACTTAAATATATTTAAGAAAAATCAGTCTATAGTTTTAAAAGTCTACACTTAGTTGAGAAATTTACTTTCAGAACTATTTGATAAAAATTTACCGGTATAATCTTAAAATAATACATAGTTTAAAAATGACTTTTTCACATGCTGACTAGAATTAATTGTTTATTTCCATTGTAAAATAATAAATTAATGAGTGAAAAAAAAATTATTTATTTATCAAATCTCTGATAGAGTAATATGTAATTTTTTTGTCTTTACTTCAATTAAATTTAATTGAATTTGCTAAGCATTGAATAATTTATAAAACTGGATCAATTATTTTTAATATATTAACGAAAATTAAATTTGAAATGTCTTGAGTATTTTTTATTCATGGTTATATGATTCTTAAAAATATTTAATCGAGTTACATTTAACTTATCTGCTACTCCATTTCAACTCAGTGATGAACAAATTTTAAAATCCGATTTTTTTGCATTCTACTTACACTTTATATACTTTTTAGTACAAAATTTTATGCTTATTTTCTTATAAACTATTATATGGATGTATCTTATCCCATAAAACTCGACTTAATCTCAGTAGTTTTAACTTTTATTACGAAATTCAATTGAAGTTTAATTGTATTTATCAATGTAATGGTTAAATTTTTTGGTATTTTTATTTTTTAATAAAAAATCGAAAAAATTACCGGTTACTAGGTTTTGACATGGAGCAACTGTTATATGCATAACGATAGGTAATATTTATACACCTTATTATTTTCAGGAGTATGTTATGGCTTTAAGGTGAACTTAGGTTATAGATTTATTGATAAAATTATTTCATAAATAATAAATATACTAACTCTTTCGTCCAACATCTAACAGCACTTAATTGACTAGAATCAAGATACCTAATTTATTTTCATTATTGTAAAAGTTATTACATACCAAGAGTTAATTATGTATTTTCTACTTGGCAGTGAAATCTGGCCAATAGTTAACATGATAGCGCTGTGTTGTGCCTTCAAATAATCTATCAAGCCAATTAGGTAAACCTTCTAAAAGTTTATCTTGTTTTATAACATCATTCTTAACCTGAAACAAATCAATTTTATAAGATTAAAGGTATTAATTAATGCTCAATATTATTTATGTTATGAAAGTTATATATTATTATACTTCATCCTGAGACATTTCTGAATCACTTGAATTGTCGAAGCCTATAAATGCTCCAGCTTCTGCATCTTCAGACCGGTGACTCATTTGTTTAGTGATCCGTTCCATACGCTAGGCAGAATTTATTACAATTAGTATTGTGACATTAATTAGCATTTGTAAGTGCTACCATGTTCTATGTACACGGTGATTGGCAAATGTTTAATTTAATGAGTTTGAGTAGATAGTTAGATTTAAATATGACAAATTTTTTGTGTTTACAGTGTTATTTTTGTTTGTAGAAGCACTAAATATTAATTTATTTTTTCAGGAATATCAATAACTATAACTGAATTAGCGATAAATTTTGATTTCATTTCTTATGAAATAGTAAACTAAATTCAACTATCTTGCAAGCATATGACAATATCTGATTAGCATTGAGCCTTACATTATTTACAAGGATACCTTACATTATTTTCTTATAGATATTTTTCAGAGAGAGTATAGTCACTTTCAAGTTTTGGTTACAAGATCTTCTAAGAAATGCTAAGAACTTAGTGAACTTGAATGGGGCCATTATTTCGCTAATTAAATTATAGCAAATATTTGATTGATACAGCTTATGTAAAATTATTATTATTAGTAAGTTTGAGAATATTTCTATTGATGTTGATTACCTTAAATTCTTTATCTTTATTACATTCTGGATGTTTAGCATGATAAATGCAAAAATATTTACGGTGTCCGTTTAACGCTAAAACGGTACCAACGCAATTCTTAGGATTTATATTCAACTCTATCAATTCAGGCAAACTGAGTGATAACAATTTTTTATACCAATTTAATCCTCGTTCCATATTCATATAACTAAACATTAATGTCTTATTTTTTCTGTAAGGCCAAATGATTTTGTGAAATATTGGTATTAATTTTAATTTACTTTGGTGGTCGACTAACAATATTATAGTTCGACACCCAGGTTTTAATAACCGTACAAGACCGTTATATTTTTCAGTACGTAATTCATGCAATCGTAATTGTGTTACTTGTGTGGATCTAGAGTTATTTTCATAACCACCTTTCTTTCCTTGTATACTTATTTCTTCTAGTTTCATTAAATATGATAATCCGTAAGTAACAGCTCCAATTAATATAAACGTTGTTATAACAGATATAAGGAGAAGAATTTGATTTTTTGATATATTATCAGATATATAATCAACCGCCAATAATGCTTTGCCAATAATTCTATCTATAGTTCCTTGAGCATGTTCATCAGCTAATTCTTCAATTTTTGCTGCATAAGGTAAGGCTTCAGTAGTGCGTAATAGCCGTTGTATAGTTTGTTCTAAACTTTGTCTAGATTCATTCCATTTATTCTCGTCTTGAGTAGGTTCAATCCATCTTGTTTTAAGCCACTCATATTTTAAATTGTTGACATCACGACGCCAGATTATTACAATATGTAACAAGGGCTCCATTGGGCTTCCTTCACTTGCACTTAGTGCTGCTACAAATTCTGGCTGTGATTCTTTAAATATATAGGTGTATCTTACGCGTTCAGTACTGTAAGGTGATTCTATTGCCGCTTGACGGAATTTATGCCTTGCCAAATCATGAATTGCACTATTTTGTGATACCAAAATAGCACATAACCGTTTTTGAGGTTTTAACCATTCGGGTGGGCATACTGAATCTAACATTGCTTGATTTGAAAGTCGTGGTAAAGTCAAGAAATTATTATTTGTGATTACATTATGCATTGTTTCGCTCGATATATCTTTCATACTAACTGAAGCCATTGGCTTTTCAGAATTTTCATTAAATAACAATAAAGTATTTAAATCTTTGGGAATTTTATATTTTGTTACTATTGCTTCAGTCTCAGGTTTACCCATCTACAAACACAAAAAATTAAAGATCAATAATTTGACAGTGAATATGAATAGATTGATAAGTTAAAACATTGCTTTTATCTAATTAAATCGTAAAATATTTATAGATTGATATCCAATTTCTAAAACTACTAGTATAATAATATAATCTAAGCATTTGATCAAAATTATAAAATTGAAAACAGTACAAATCAATTCATGTAGAAATGCTTTTATTTACATTTAAATAGAATTCAATTAAATCAATCTAAAAATAAATGGAAATTCGATAAAAATATCGAATAAATTTTTGTTTTTTTTATTTATTATTAAATTGCTTACTTGAACATATCCAAAGGCGACACGCTCACGATGATGAAACGCCACAAGTACATATCTTAACCTTGGTAATTCAAGTTTTTCGAATATCAGGGCTCGTATTCTATTGTCTACCCATCCAGACAAAAATTGATCGATATTATTCTCATTAATGTTTTGGATCAGCTTGTATGGAAATTTACTCCGTACGAATTCTAAAAAATTTTTTAATTTTTAGTCATTTATTTAATTGAAGATCTTTACCTTCTTGAATATTAATTATGATCCAAACTCATTTCAATTATTAAATGATTAAAAAATAGAGATTTTTATTATGGGATCTCAATTTTATTATCGGATTATGGGATCGTAAATTGTAAAATTTCATGAATAAATAGTAAATTTTCTTCTAAAATATTTGAAAGTTAATAGTAATAAAAGTATAGTCCAGCTTTACAATAGTTGTATCGTAAATTTTCCCAGAAATTTTTTTCCGTGTAGGAAATTAAAAATTCTAATTATTAAAATCTACCCCCGCAATCTATTGGGGGTAGGTTATCGTAAAATCCGTTATTAGATCATTTCTACATAATATGTAGAAGATTCCTACCAAATATGGAGCCTACAGGAGTTATAGTTTAAAAATGGAAATTTTTTTATTGTTAACGCCCTCGCAACACTCTTTGCGGTTGGAATTTCGTAAAGTCCGTTCTTAGCTGACCTCTACTCGACGAAAGGAATATTCCTATCAAATGTAAAGTTTCTACGCCTTATGGTTCGAGAGATATCGTGATGAGTCAATACATAGGTGGAAATCTCTTATGTTTTTATTTATATTTTTTTTTATTGATAAATATTATATTTTAATACTTATTATCCTATTTCGGACTAAGAGAAATCTTCTTGGTTTAATATATATTGATGTATGTGTGTGCGTAAACCTCTCATAACTTTTGAATGGTTTATTTAACCGATTTGAACCAACTTGGTAGAGTTCGAAAGGGTTCAGGGAAACTTAGAATTTCACGTAAATTTGAATCAATTCGGTGGGATAAATTTTGAGAAATTCCCAAAAAACCGAAAAAAAATTGATAAAATCATTTTTTTTCGAAATGACTTTTGAGCTGCTGTATTGATAAATTCAGCTCTTAATCTCAAAAAATGACGTCAAATGCCGTTTTAAAATTCAAAATTAATTTATTCGTTCGTGAGATATCGTTGACGAAAAATTTTGATATAAATATTTTTTTCAAATAACTTCGAAATTTCATTTTGGATCGTTGTTATGTAATAAAGTAACTATTAGTGATCAAAAAATTGCATTGAACGCTGCTAATCTCGTCAAAATCGGTCAATTTGTTCGTAAGAAATTTAATTTTAAAAATTTCTAAAAAAGTGTTTTTTTAATATAAGTTCATAATTTTACATCGAATCGTTTGTTAGAAAATGAATAACCTTTTTGTGCTTGAAAAACTGCGTCGAATGCTGCAAGCCTCATCAAAAACAATTGATTCGATAGGAAAATATCGTAATTAAAATTTCACAAAAAAGTATGTTTTCACCAGCTACTAGATTTTTAAGCTCGAAAAAGTATAAAAATTGTGTTTTTGAGCTCAAAAAGCTCAAAACTTCAAAATAGATCATTTTTCCAGCATTTTTCCAGCGTTTCGTACATAGTGGGAAGTTTCAGGGATGGCCTGCAGGGTCAATAGTTTTCTAAATTTTTTTTAGCTTGATGACCCCGGTCGGGATCCTAGTCAAGAAAAAAATGATTAAGCCAAGAAATTATTCATGGTTTCACTAAAATTTTCTTGGTACATGAATTTTTTTTCTTGACTCAAGAAAGTCATTTTCTTCAAAATGGTATTCTTGGTTCAAGATTTCTTCTCTTGAATCTAGTAACTTTTTTATCAGAGTTCTTCATGAGATATTCCATCAACTAAATCATGACAAATGCTTGATGAAAAGTATTATAAGAATTAAAAAAAATTAGATACCATGTAATAATCATTGTGTTATACTAATCATGTTGAATATTAGTTTCAAAGGGATTTCGTTGATTGAAGAAGTATTTAAATCTTTTACTAAACTTCACAATTATTAAATTGTTAATTTTAAAGCTAGTTAATTTTTATTTTTGAATTAAAGAAGTAAATCTGAGCAAACTTCAATGCTCGAGATTTTATTTAAATGGATTGCCATAAGTAATAATAACTGAAAGAAATATCTTAGGTCAAACATTTTTTGGCTTCTTTTATGTTTAATGAAACTTTTTAAAGTGATACTCATGGAACATGATTTATTCTCTTGAATCAAGTTAATTTATTGGTGTATACATAAACTTTACTTAAAGACAAATATAAAAATAAAAACTTACCAACAATTTTGTTTACATTAAACAAAGACTCTTTGTAAACACTCGAACGGCCATCTAATGTTACAGCGAGGCAAGGTAATGAATGAACGCCAACTTTTCTTGCAAAAGATGTTTCACGTTCTGCATGCGCTGTAACTAATTTAATACCAATAGGTTCTAATTCATCAATCAATCGTCGCCAGGTAGGTTCAATTTGTATACAAGTGAAACACCAGTCGTAATAAAATAAAATTAAGTAGGGTGTTCGATAACTTCTTGGTACAATAGTATTATCATATGTGCGATAGGAAATGCTCATTTTATGAAAGAATGATACATCTCGACTTTGGTAATGAAATTTAAAATTTCCACTATTAAATAGTTCATCAATTGGATCATTCATATGGAAGTTACTGGATTGTTTTTGTCTAGACATGTTTTCTTCAGTTATTCCATGATCATCAAATTTTTTCCTTCTTTCTGGGTCAGCTAATAATTCGTAGGCTTTAGTTATTTCAACAAATTTATTCTCAGCAGCAGGATGATCCGTTTTATCAGGATGCCATTCTTTTACGAGGTTTTTATATGCTTTCCTTATTTCTTGACTAGTAACATGTCTTGTTACACCCAATACTTCATATGGATTTCTGAGTGGTTCTGATGCATTAGCGATTGACAGAATATTTACAAATATGAATATTATAGAAAAAAATACAGGTAATCTTACAAATGATACGATATTTTTCATGTTTATTTTATTAAATTTTTTACTAATAAATGATATTTTTTTGACGCAATTTTTTAGTGATATTAGGAGCAATTTTATATAAATATTCGACCACGAAAACCACTCTATTATTTTTCTGTCATATGAATTCGTATTAGTTGTTTTAATTATATTTTCGCAATTAAGTTTAATTTTATCGTTTACTATTTTTTTATTGGTACAATTAAGCATTCTTATTTACATTTACAAGAAAAAATATTAAAATCGAAGCCGCCAAAAATTACAGTTTTCCACTACTTCACAATTTTTTTTTAAAAAATTTATCATATTTTTTATCTTATGTACTATTGGGGTCATACGGATCGTTTAAATATCTTGATGGATAGATTAGCTCATGATCAAGAACAAATGGGATATTTTTTGCTGTCCAGAGATGGTTCATTACTTTCTGTACAAGATGGAGTATTTCGTACAAACTGTATTGACTGTTTAGATCGAACCAATGTTGTCCAAAGTATGTTAGCTAAACGAGCACTTGTAGATGCTTTAAATAAACTTAGTATTCTTAGAAGAATTGAAGAGCATCCGTCTTTTGAAACATTATTCAAAGAGGTGAGCAAAATTACGAATACAATTTTCAAAGTATTACTATGAAAATTAAAAAAATTATATGGTTTTAAAGGTTTGGGCTGACAATGCTGATATTATAAGTACCCAGTATTCAGGTACGGGTGCATTAAAAACTGATTTTACTCGTACGGGTAAACGAACTAGAATGGGAGCGTTGAGAGATGGTATAAACAGTTTAACTAGATACTACAAAAATAATTTTGCCGATGGCTTTCGTCAGGTAAAAGTTTACAAATATTAATAAATCTGTTATGTGATTTAATGATGACAATATGATTTTAGGATTCATTAAATCTATTTTTGGGTCGCTATGTTATACAAGATGGCGAATGTATGCAGCTGAAATGTCCATTAGATTATGAACGAAACTGGCGATATGCAACATTCCCATTAGTACTTTTAGTTGCATCTTCAATGTTAATTGCCCATGTGATACTTCCTTCAACATATTCAACTGAAGTTCTATTATATATGCTATTTTGGGGTGCAATGGTTGCTGGTACATTCGCCACTATCATTCATCATGGTCGACAATATGTCGATAAACCGAAATTATTGTAGTTAATAATTATACCATTTAATTTTATTTTCACTCGTAATTGTTCATAGATAATTCAATCAGCTAGTTAAGGACATTACAAGTATTGATAATGATACATGAATTTTTTTTTTTATAATTATTGGAAAAATCTATGTAAATTAGCAAATAATTTATGAAAAAATATATTAAATTAAACTATAAAAATTTCAGATATTAGCATTTTATTAAGATCAATCAATCTCAACTTTGTTTATTTTATTCATAGGTAATTGAATAGTATAAGATGAATTAAGTAATCTAATTTATATTTCCAGTTGTTACATATATCACAAATAAAGAAAATTTTTGAACTCAAATATTTCAATTAGAATGGAATTTTGACTAGGCTCTAGAAATAACAAACAACACTGTACGTCTTAAAAGTATTGTCCTTGTGGATTTTTTACGATCAGAATAATTCGAATTTTTTTTTATTAGTTACTAATTTTTTTTCTTTCAATTTAAAAAATATTTTTCCTGCATGGTGTACATGGGTCATTAAATAAAAATGTTTTTTGGGGTGTGACTTCCGTCAGAACTCTTCTCTCAATTATTTTAAAATTTCTTGATCTCTACGTAAAAACAAAGAAGCAAAATTATTTTTAATAAAAATACGAACGAAGTAATTTTTTGGGTGAAAAAATTCTTAACTTTTCGAACTATTCTTTTATTTATCATTAAGAACTGAAGATCCTCAACAATTCAATCAAAGTAGAAAAAGTGATTTTGTCTTTTTACTTAATAATATGTTTTACATCAATTTTTATATTTTTTTTCTTAATACAATTCATTTAGAAAATACATCCCTTTTATTTGATTTCAAATGTATATAATTTTTGACAGAGTTTCCAATTTATTTTGATAGTCATTTAAAAAAGATCAATTAAAGCAACAAAACTTGTTTTGAAATGATTAAAATAAGAATTATTTTATTCTACGTCTAAAAAAATGTATTAAACTTTCAAACTAAGTAATATTAAAATTGATTCAAATTATCAAAATAAATTAAAATTGTCGTGCTAGTTCTCCTATCTGATCAACTATCGAATTGAAATGATCATTAAGTTTTTATATTTTGAAAACTGGTTGCTATGGTGAGAATCGATCCCCAACACATATTACATTCACAACAGTGAACGCTTTTTAAACACAAGCATTTTATCAGTACAATTTTTCTAAAATTGATTACGAATTATTTTCAATTTTATTCATAATGTCACTTGTTTTATCACGCGTAGATTATGTAACTGTTGGTGTAACTTCTCGTAGATCAACAAAAATATTACCTGCTACAGATTCAAAGTCCACTCAAAAATTCGTTGTCGGTGATCATGATGGGATATTATATATTTATGGTATTTATTAAATCAATTATATTTTTTATTAATTTATTAGTTGAACAAAAATTTATAGCAGTAAAATATTTAAAATTTTCTTTTTCTTCTTTGATAATAATTTTTTTTGTTTTTTATGTTTAGGAATAAAGAAAGGGGAATTGCAATTGATATTCAAGTCGTTGCCGGGACCAAAAATAGAAAAAACTGTCTTAGGCGGTACAATTGATACACCAAAAGATAAAATATTTGTTGCTTATGGGAATTCTGTAAAAGGATTTACGAAGAAAGGAAAAATGTTCTTAGAATTCGATACAAGTCTTGTGGATTCAATAAGTACAATGTAATTCAGTGTTTGCCTTTATTTGTTTTACGTAAAATTATTTTCTGTCTGTTACGTGAAATTTTTTTAATTAAAAATTAACTTCTGATATGTTTAGGTATGTTTTGGGATCCGACTTAGCTGCGTGTTCGCGAGATCTTTATCATCGATATCAAAATTGTAAAGACGCTGATTCTTATTTAGTAGGAGAAATCATTATTGATGTCATATTAGTTACAATTGATAATTCTTCTGTATTAGCTATTCTTGCATGTTCTGATCGTGCAGTAAGATCTAAGAACTAGTTTATGCTATGAATAATTATAATATTCCTTATTGAATATTTATTCTTAAATATCATTATTTTTTTTTTCTTTCTACAGATCCGAGTATTGTCTGGAACAAGAAAACCGACAGTTTTAAGACTTCCAAGTGTTCCAACAGTTCTTGCGTTATGTAGGTAATACTTTTAAAAAAAAATTTATGTTTCAAGCAAGATCTATTTATAGTATTTCATTGGTGTTATATGAAATGTCAATACAACTGTTATTATTGTTATGTCATTTTTTTTTTTTTTAATTCAAGTAATTTCACACTGTTACTTTTATTTTATTGCTATATCAAAATTTTTGATAAAATCTCACTGAATTATCATTTCATTATCGAAAGTACACTTATCAAATGAAAATTGAGCTAATTACTAATGATTTATTATTTTATATTTTCAGAGAAGGCGAAAGAGAATCACACGATCGAATATTAGTTGGAACACAAGATGGAAAGATAGGACTTTTGAAAATTTTAAGCGATACAACATGTCGTGTTACATGGATTATTAATTCATATGGTTCAGAAATTACTTCTTTACATACTTATGAGCTTGATGATAATGTCGATATTTTAGTTGGCAGACAAGATGGTACTATTGAAGTTTTTAATTTTCCGTATGATGACGATGAAATAAATCCATCTTTAAGGTATCAATACGTAAGTATTTTTTTGTCCCCTTCGTTTATTTATCTTATCTTTAATAAAAAATGCAGTACATTTATTACATAATACTACATGATTCCTTTTCTTACTTAATTTTATGATGATAATTATTGAATTAGATGGCAGGAGAAAGTATTACTTCAATCGAGGGAGGTATCATTGGTACGGTAGGACACACGGAAATTTTAGTAACAACATATTCTGGTCGAATTTTTGGATTAACAACAAGATCACCAGGATCCCTTGCTGCTGATTCTAAAGAAGATACTATTAATCGTTTAAAAACTGAAATTCAAGATCTCGAAGCTAAGTTGATCGAAGATAAAGAATTGGAAAATTATGCACTCGATAATTTAACTCCGTTAATTTTATCTGTAAATTATAGGTAATTAAAAATATATTGTAGTACATTTCATTAAATATTTATATTCAATGAAAAAGTGGATAAAACTTATATTATTAATTTTTATTAAATTATTATTTTTAGAATGATACAGGATCGAGAAACTGCATCGTATTTATTGTCAATAGAGCTTGATACGCCGATTGACAATATTTTAATCCAATCAGATACACCAGTTGAATTGTTAAATGAAAGTAATAACGCTGTTCTTAGTTTCTCTACATGCAATCCTTATGAAGGAAATTTTGTACTTGCTACTTATCGATGTCAAGTTAACACCAGTCAGTTAGAAACTAGAATTAGGTCGATTGAAGGTCAACCTGGAACACTTCAAGTTTATGTCACAACTCAGGTAAATTGATGAACTAAAAAATTTTTATGGCAATTTAATGATTATTATTTGTAAGTAGATCCAACCAAAATGTTGTAGAAAAATTAAAATTCCAATACATGCATTATCTCTACATGCTAGATTGCACGAAGAAGAACAGAGTGAACTCTCAGGCGATCTTTGTAATGAGTTAAGGCTTGTAGGAAATTTTACAGTTTCTGAGGTAATTAATTGTAAAACTATTTTAAAAATTTAAATCTCAATTTAAAAATTGATTAATTTATTTTAGATCCAAGCATGGCTTTCATTTGCACTTCCAGATCTTCCAGAGAGACCAGTGTTGCAGGATCATGAAGTAGTACTAAAATATGTATCATCATTAACTGGATCTATTCTAATATGCAAATATAAGTAAATACTATAATAATTACTTTTATTATTATTAGTTGTTTAACTTCCGATTAAAAGAATTAAAGTCTTATAATATTTATTTATTATAGAAAAGGGGTTGCAACTTTTCTGGCTGAAAATATATCAACTATATTAATTCTTCGTGATTTATTGACTAAAGAGGCAACAAAACGAAAAATAAAACTTGACGTTTTTTTTAGTAAGTATTATATTTTTTCAAGCTAAGATATAGAACTTCGTGCCTGTTTAAATTAATAATACTAATACTAATACTAATAATAATAATAATAATAATAATAATAATAATAATAAAACATATTATTAAAACAAAAATGTACTCAAATGTCTATGCGAGAAAAAAAAATTATTGAAAAACTTGAGAAAAATTCAATCTGCAATTTTTCTTTCAGACTTGAAAAGGTTTAATTTCATGATATTCTATAACTAAAAAATCATAGAACAAGTGAAGTTAGTATGATTTTAGAAAAAATTTGTGACAATTTCAATTAAAAAATTCTTAACAGTAGTATACCTACTGTTCATGAATTATAAGACTTCGACAAGCTTGAACAAAATAAATTGCAGGTTCGATCTTTTACAAATTTTCGTAGCAATGATAAAATTCACATTTAAAAGTTACTTAGCATATACCTGTTAAAAACTTTACTAAAATAACATTTCCACTAGTCTTGCTCATATTAGATACTTGCTAAAAATTCTATTACATAACTGTTGGTGGATAATCATCTACTCCGCTAATAGTAATAATACCTCGAAACTTAAAATTTTATTCATGAATTTCTTGCGTAGCAAATATATGCTGAGAATTTTGAAATGGGTGTAATCCTATTATTATTAACATCGTCATAATTAAATAATTACTTTTTTTCAACATTATAGATATTGAAGATGGTACAATAGTAAGAATGTTGGATTTAATCGTACCAAAATTTAATTCAACTTATCAATTGATTGAAAAATTAAAGATAATTGATGCTCTACAAGAATGGGATTTAAAAATTGATTCTAGGGAAAATCTAAGTACATATTATCAAGAGTTATTGAAAGAAGAAGATAGTATGAGAGCAAAATTATCAAAAAACCCTACAATCTTACAAATTATACAAGCAGTTATTACTGATATATATGTTGATTGGAATCGTGCCAAAGGTTTCCAAAGGTAAAAATATTTCTATGTATATAATAAGAAAAAATTCAAGTAATTATTAAATATTTATGATTAAATTTCAGAATAACAAGCAAAGCAGCCAGTGAAAAACTTAAAGATGCACTCGAGTCAAGGGATTTACAAATGATACTTCAAATGTTTATTGAAAAAAATAATTGAATAATTTTTTTCACTGGACATAAGCCGCGGCTGCCCAATTTTAAAACACGGTAACCGCAAAATTTTTATACCTGATTTTTTTCAGTATTGCTGTATTTCTTATAACTTTTAAACCTTAATTTGAAGTAATTTTTCTTAAAAATATTTATATTCAAGTATTTTCTATTCATAAATCAAATTTTTTATCAATTTGGCGCGCAAACTTTTTTTTAATAAGAAAAATTTTTAAAAATCTTAAAATTGTTAGTTACTGTGTTTTGAAATTAGGCAGCCGAGCTTATCTCATGAATAATATTGATGAATCTCTTTTAGGGCTAGTTTTTCAATCCAAGATAAAATTTTATCCAGGATAAAATGATCATTGCCTGTATATTTATATATATATATGAAACATATAGATATATTTTATCATTGGATAAAATTTTATTCTGGATTGAAAAACTGGCCCTTAGTGTTTTGGAAAAAAACTTATACTAACTTACGCATTCGGATAGATTTTAATGATTATTTTATGTAAATGGCAGAGTTATTAGATTTAAAGAAAAAATATGCACTTGTAATTTATTTGTCATGGGTTGAAAGAAATTATGTTTAAAATCTTATTTATTTTATGTATAAAATGAAAGAAGTTTTTCAATTTAAGTAAATTTAAGAAAGAAATTTTTTTGTAATTTTTAAAAAGTTATAATAACGAGTTATCAATAAATAATAATTGAATGTTCTTAATTTAAATATTGCATACCAGACATAAAAAGACAAACAACGGAATATTTTACGAGATTTTTTATTATATGATTAAAAAATATGTACGAAAATTACAATTTAGTTTTTTAATGTCATTAGTTATTACTATTTTACATTGAAAGTTAACAACTTATTAAATATATAATATATTTAAATTTGCAATATGTATGATGTTTCATTCTATTTTTTATTTAGATTTTTCTTTTTTTGAAAATTTCGCTTTAGATTTACCACGGGACGTACCTTTACGAGTTTTTTTCCCACGACCTTTAGTCTTTTCTTTAGCTTTTTGAGCTCGCAAATCTTTCTTCATTCGCGAATCAACAAGTTTGTAGTGTCCTTTGACACCTGATGGTCGAGGAACTCTTTTTTGAGCAGTATGCTTTTTGGATATTACGTATGTTACTTCTTTCTTTGGTTGTTTCAACGCTTTTTTATATAATCTGGAAGAAATATAAATGTATATTATTATACTTGATATTTGACTTGAATGTAAAATACATTTTTTATATTAAGTTTTAAAAGTATACTTACGCTTTGATTTGATGAGATTTCTCGCGATCAGTAATATCTTCGTTGTCTATTAACGCCTCAGTCTTTTTCTTTGCTTTTTCCAGTTTTCGTAAAGCTCGTTTCTTCTTTCTTGCTTTGGCCTGCATAACTTTCTTTATTGGCCGTGCGTTAATATCAACTAATTGTTTCTTGTATTCGTCTACAAGCTCCTTAGGAACAGGTTCTTCTTTTTTCATATTTTTTTCTTCATCTTTGACAAACCAATCGGGCAAATGTTTCTCATTACCAAATGAATATCTATTCCAACCTGCGTCAGTTAAATCTTTACGAGATTTTTTACTGTTAATAAACAATGTAGCAAGGGCTAATTCTTTTTCATTTAATTTTCTTTTCTTGGTTACTTTAGCATTTTTTTCAGTTATTTTTGACTCATTATTTTGAGTCATTTTTTTCGACTTAGGAATAAAGTCTTCTTCAACATCGTAATCAGAATCGGAATCAACTGATTTTTGTACTTTTTTAGATTGGTTTTTTGTTTTCTTTTTATTAACTTTGGAGTTTTCTTCCTTCGAATAAACTTCCATCATATTATCTAATTCAAATTCCTCGTCACTATCATTTTCTAAATTTTTGAAAGCTTCTTTTTCAAACCAAATTTTTGCTTTGTTAATTTTTTTTGAGCTTTTGTCCTTATTGTCTTCTAAATCCGTAATCAATGGATTATTCAGCTCACTACCTTCATTAATATCATTCTCATCTTCGATCAATGATGTGTCATCTTCACTATCACTCAAATTTAAACCACTTTCATTTACATTATAATCATCATCATCTGAATTTTCTGATTCTGACATACTTATCTCATTTACATAACTCAAACTTTTGCTGTCCAACTGATTCGTATCTTTATCATACTTAGTTTTTTTAGGCAAAAAAGTTTCTTCTTCTGAATCAATATCACTCGTGGCAGTTATATCTGGTGTTTGATCAGTGATTTGATTTAATAACTGATGTGTTGTTATATTTTTAAGGGTAAACATATCTTCACATTCCAATATCGGTCCTTCATCACCTTTGTGAATCATTTTTAAATTTAATTTTTCATTTAATTTTTGTCGTTCTTTTTGGGTCTTTTTCTTCTTTTTTTTTAAGTTACGCATTTCTTCAGCTTTTAATTCTGCTATTTCGGCATCAATTTTCATTTGCTCTTTATCTTCATCACTTTCATCTTCGTCTTTCTTATCTTTATCTTCTTTTTTATTGTCTTCAGTATTCTCATCAGCCTTTTCACTTGTATCGTGAAATTGTTTGCGTAATTCTTTCCACCATGATAGTAATAATTTTATATCTTTACGATTTAAAACTTTAATATCCTTACAGCACTCTAGTATTTCCTTGGTTGTTTTAGGATGTTCAGCTATTCGAGGATCATCTATCACAATTTCGGCGATATTTTCTAAAATTTCAATACCAGTTTCGTGAGCAATGTACTCGGACGCCGGTAATTGACGATGTAGAGTATGATCATCTTCTGGATATCCTAGAGCTTTGGCTTTTTTACGTTTTTCTGGATGCAGGATAAACAATTTATTATTAGTGATATCCAAGTCCGAAAAAACATAAGCCGGATCGAAAAATTTCGGGTCTAATTTATCGGGTGCAATATAATGTTGACAAACAACAAATATTTCGGCTGATTCCAATCTAGAAGCTTGAGGTTTTGTCGCATGGACCTAGAACAATCAAATAATTAAATGATAAAGAAGAATTTTTTTCTTCACAGAATTTTTTTAAAAATTATATTCTAAAGAATAAATATTTTTTTTTTTTTTTTTTTTTTAATTAAATATTATTTAGATTCGGTTTTAACAGCTGTGATCATATCGCCGACTTTAACTGTTGGGAGTGGTACGTTGGGGTCTTTTTGGGTTGTGTAAATCTTAACCTACGCGGCAAGGGCCGAATATCAACCAAGTTGGTTTCTAATACCAGCTTGGGATTCGAACCCACGCCTGGCCGGTAAGTTAGTAAGAGTCCTCTATAAGCCATGCGCCTTAGACGACTCGGCTAACGTCACCGGTTAATTTTAAATATTTTGTAAGATAGCTATTATAAAATTATAAAGTATTATGAAATAAAAATAACTAAACATTAAACTTGATTTGGCTATTCAATTCAGTTAATTAAATAAATTTTCAAATTTTTGTCAGTATCTCTCATAAATATCTCAATAAGAATTATGATAAGTTGAATAATTTACTATTTAAAAATTTTAGTTAAGATAGAACTAGAACTACACATTTAACGCGAACAGCTCTTATGACTATTGATTATCAATTATAATAAAAAATAAAAAATTTGATAAATGTTTCTTGGATAAATTATTTACCTTTTTGAACAGCTGTGATAAAATCCAATAAAGGGCATTATAATCTTTTGATCTAAATATTTTTGTGATAAACCATCCTCCAGGTTTTAGAAAGTGAGAAGCTAGTTTTAAAGCAGACAAAGTTAAAGTAACTTGTTGATAAGCATCATGAAGCCAATTTTTTCCAACATTTGGGGCTCCATCATTTAATACAATATCGGCTTTCCATGTTTTTATTTCTTTTGAAATAGCCACTCTACATTTATCTGTAGTAATATCTTCAACCAGGCTGATGCATCCAGGAATTGGCTTTATCGGAAATAAATCCACACCGATAACAATTGATGAGACTGGCATATTTTGTCTGGCAACTTGCATCCATCCTCCCGGAGCAGCGCAAAGATCGATACATACTCGAGACTTTTGTAAGAATTCAAATTTTCTATTCAACTGTAATAATTTGAAAGCTGCACGAGATCTAAAACCTAAAAAATAGTTAATTTAATATTAGTGATAACGAATAAGTAATTACAACGTATTTATTTTACACATCAAACTTTTGTATTTTAAATAATTACCTGTTTCTTTAGCTAAGTGATAATATTTATCCTTCCGATGCTTTCCGATTTTTGTTTTTTTACCCATTGTTATTTTTCAACAATTTTACAAAAAAAATAAACTTTTAATCGAATAATATAACTTGTTACATACACAAATAATATAACTTGCTACATACACGTGGTAGCACAGCGCATGTAATTTTAGTTTTGAGGTTATGATTATTTACGAGACTGTACACCGCAAACACAGTTTTCTTTATGGCTAAGCTAACGGTAGTGTGAGACGTGTAAATAATGATGAAATCGATATATTTACATCTTTCGATTATCGATGTATTTCAATCGACTGTTTCAATTCGAAAAAAATTAATTTTCTTTTTTTAAAACAATTTTTTTTAAGAATTAAATTTTGTTTTATATTAAGTAAATAAATTTTGAAATGAAATCAAATAAAATGAAGTTTTCAAAAAATAATGACTAGCTATTGCGCAAGATTTATAATAATTAATTAAAAAAGTAAAAAAGTAATTCGAAATTAAGTATTATAATAATAAAAATCAGAAAATACATTTACTACGACCAATTCTTGAGAGTGTATTCTAATTTACTACATTGCGAGCAGTCCGAGATGTCCGAGAGTCCTAGAGTCCGAGCAGACGAGAGAGCACTGACTGAGGAGAAATTTCTTCTGTTATTTACTGTTTACTGTTAGTAAACGGGTAGCGCTGGTAAAGGAACAACTTCACAGTTCCAGCGCATGTGCCTGCACTCTGCGTGAAAATCAAATGCCTCATAACGTACATTCTGATTGCCAATTCTTGATACAACTGCGCGATATTCTTTTTCAAGCACATTTTCTGCTCCACGATGATCAATCTAATAAAAAAAGTAAAGTAGGTAACTATGTTATTAAGCATTAAGTATAAAAATAAATAAAAAAATAAATAGAGTAGTAATTAAGTACCAGGTTGACTAATATTTGTTTGCCATAATGAAATATTTGTGCATCTAAGTGTCTCGAAGCAGCAATTTGATGATTTTCATGAGAACATAGTTGTGGTTTGGGTTTATATTTGAGATTTGGCTCTTGCTGCCAAAATAATGGTATTGATCCCCTCGATTGAACGAAAGAACTACGATCTCCATTGACTTCGATTAATTGCTCAGTTTCAACATAATTTGAAACATTACCATTAGTATCAATTCCACGAGAAAATAATCTTGTCCCAGCACGATGTACACTTCGCCGTGATACAATTCCCCAATTGAACGGAATGCCATTTATAACAACAGTGTTCAAAGAAATGACTGTTATTAGAAAATTAAAGAATATATATTGAGACTTTTTCTAACTTCCCGCTAAGAAAATCGAAGATTTTCAAAAATCGGGAAGTGATTGGTTTTACCCCGTTTTTCGAAAATCGAGTTTTCATCAGATCTCGACGTTTTAAGGTCCTAAGAAGCTTCCCTGACTATTCCCGCGGTGTATGTGTGTGTATGGATGTATGTAAACTTTTGAACGGCTTCCCCGATTTCATCGCGGTTAACGCCATTCAAAAGAGCTTGACTGGACTTCGATTTTGAATACGATTTGGACCGATTTGGACCGGTAGATTTTAAGAAATCTCAAAAAAACCACGAAAAAAAATTTTTTCAAATGTGTTTTTTTTTAACAACCTTAAAACGGCTTGACCGATCAATTCCAAAAAATAATCAGCTCTTAACATCGAAAAACCACGTCGATCGCTACCAAGTCGGTTAAAATCGGTTGATTCATTGGTGAGTTATCGTTGACGAAAAAAGTGTTTTATTTTTTCGAATTACACCAAAATTTCCGGTCTGATCAATTTGTGTTCAAAATTATATCATGGAATTTGAAAAACTGCGTCAAATGCCGCTAACCGCGTGAAAATTGGTTGATTCATTCAAAAGTTATTGCGGTTTAAAAATTCAAAAAATAGTGTTTTATTAAGCTGCTATCAGACGTTTGAGCTCGGAGAGCTCAAAATTACACGAAAATTAAATTTTTGAGCTCGAAGAGCTCAAAAATGTAATAAGTGCAATTTTGAGCGCTTAATTATGAAAGTAGCGGGAAGTTGCCGGGATGGCCTTTAGGGCCAACCGTTTTCCTAATTTTTTTTTTTTTTTTTCATATTTTGTACATTTGAAAGGATACATCCATGTATAATAGGCAAACAAAACTTTGAATGTTCTGATCTGGATGATAAATCTTGTAATAGATATGCGTTCCATATAAAACGAGAGTCAGCTCGATCATGTAGTGGCATCTGTTTATAAAATATAATTTTATCAGTTGAATAAAAATATAATCATAGCCACAATTTAATAATTTCAACTATAAAATTTTTAGATTAATAAAAAATACAAGTTTATAAACCTGGAGAAATTCTGGAGTCGTATTGTGTAATCTTTGCATCGTATGACTAAGGTCATACGTGTAACTAAAGTAAAAATATGGAGTATTTAGAACAGATTTAATCATTTCTAAATATGTTGTATTGTTTTCAATTTGTTTATCGGTTAAATGCAAATCTGATTTCGAGTATGGTATTACATCCGTCGCAGTCATCTGAAATATCTGTTGGCCTGCTATAGTTCCAATTCTTTTGGCATCAGTAATAACTATTAAGTATCGGCATGATAATAATTTTATTGTCCCTACAATACCCCATATTTTTCGTCTAATAGCTGTCTGTGAAATCTGATTAGCTGTACCAACTAGAAATAAAAAATCGTTGTGCATTATATTTATTTTTGATTAATACAAGTTAAATAATAAAATTTATTCTCCTATTACCTTGAGTAAATATATGTTGATTTACTCTATCAACTATTAGTAGTACTTTCGCAGTTACAGCTTCAACGTAAAACTTTTCGTTGGTCGTATATCTGTAAATTAATAAAATAGTGATTAAATGTTGAATATTACATATTTTATAGATTTAGATATAAGAAATATTATATATATATGAATTTAAAAAACTTTTTATCATTGGATATAATTAATCATCTGATTCAATACATTCAATTACATTAATAATTAATGAGTTATCTTGTGAAAAAACTTACAAAAATAAATCGTCATAGACATCTGTATTTGTAGTCATTTTGGAATGATAAGTTGTATAAATTTATTAATCAATCACTAATAAATTGTACTTTGAATAAAAAAAAATATATAAAACTTTCTCATTCAGGTAATATTAATCGCAGAAATAGCCAGTTTATATATGACTATTATTTTCCAAGTTAATAATTATCATAAGAAAAATAATTGATACTACACGCTAGTAGAATGATGTGACAGTGTGACAGACGACTTAACACGACTTTAAACGAGCCAACTGCTCTCTAGCGACGAAACCCGTAAATATCATTTTGAATTAAAAAAAATCATGGAGAATATTACATATTCAAAAATTATAACATTTTTTCCCTTGAAGAAAAGGTTTTTTTTTAATTTTTTCTTACCTAATTGATGAGAGGTTTCAAATTAAAAAATTAGAATAGAAATTCTCTTGTTTGAAAAAAAATAAAAACTTTTTATTAGTAAATGTTATGGTTTATAAATAAATAATTAATTACATTTATTATTGAGAAAGAATCTCTTAGTTCAATGTTGATAGAATTTGAATAATTTTAAAATATTTGTAATAATAATAAAAACGATAATTTGATTATTTTGGTTTTTTGGAAAAATTGTTTAAATTGATAAAATAAATTTTTATTCAATCCAAGTAAAGCTATTCGTTCATTTACTAAAGTATATTATAATGAACACAAATATTTCATAATAAAGGTAGATATTGATTTTCTTTTGTCAAAAAATTAATAAATTTTAATAGTTCACTTCAATAAATTTTTGAGCCAAGAAATCCTGTTCTTGAACAATAATTTTTCTTTCTCTTAGAATATGTCAAAATTTTCTTAAAATGACACTATATAAATTTAATACTATTAGGTAGATTTATAAACAATATATACTATTTATAATATTTAAATCTACCTAATCTAAGTAAAATTTAAAAGTACTTTCCTGAATTTTTTTCATTACATAATTAAATTAAACTTAGAAATTTTCATTAAAAGCTTTATTTTTGTAAAAATTTCACGACTATGTTACATGCTTTTTACCACTTCAAAATGTTCCACCAAGCTTCCGATCAATGTTTTGGTCAGTCTCACGAGCAGAAGGTCCTTGATTCCAATTCGAAATCTCTTCAGAATCCACCAGGGATACATTTTTTTTTTTTACCTAGGCTGTTGAAGAAACATTATCTCCATCATCTATCATACAAAAAAGATAATTGATCTTATATGTACATCAGCAGCGGATACCAACATCTTTATATCAAATGCATTCTTTCGCATTTATCGTATTCAACGCAGTCTTCTGAGGAGCAGACCCGTTCTATTTGGAAATTTACTTATAGAAAAGTCTTGATACCCATAAAGATATTAAATTTTTTTTTTTTTTTTCATAAAATACTTCTTTTTCTAAAATGGACCAAATATTTCAATATATTTGCATTCAAGGCAATCTACTCTAAATACATTAAAATTTGTATAATATATTGTAGTTAAGAAATTTCTTATCAGTACAAGAGTAATTTTGAAATATCGAAAGTATTTAACCAATTAATTTTTTTTAAATCATTTTTTACTTAGACAATAAATTATATTTTCAGTGGATAACTATTCCCTATATTTTTCTTACTTTTTAAAATGTGAGATCTATTAAATAATATGCTTATAATCACAACTTAAAGTTATATTTTTATGGAAGATTTTTTAATTTTTAATTAATAAATACAGGTACAAAATCGTATATCAATTAAGATTAAAAAATATAGTTATTATTATTATTTTTTAAATTTTATTACTGAAACACTTGTCCCGGTAAATTAGGCATTACGAATACATCTGGCCTTTGGGATGTAGCAGGAGCTGTGAATGGTCGCATTTGTGGTATAAAGGTTTTATTGAAATTTTGAGATTTTAAGTTAATTGGATCTAATGGCAAGAAAGCAACGCTGTCTTCAATTTCATTATGAAAATATTCTATATCGTTGACTGTGTTATTGGTATCATCTTCAAGCGTAGGGGCGGTTTTATTTTTAACTAGAAAATTTTTTGCCTTAAATCCATTCCGGCTATTTACACCTGAAAAATTAATCAAAGTTGCATGATATAATTTCCCGTACATTCATCAGATTATAAATTTTTATTGCTTTTATAATAACTTTTTAACGTAAAAATTTTTTTCATAAAAATTTAATACAAACAACAATTTTAAGCAATATTATTATTTATTAAATCAAATCCCATGCAATAGTCTTAGAAAAACATTGCAAAAATTTCCTCCGTGTTTAAATAGTTATCTGTTCCTTTGTTCGATTGTAAATGTAACCGAAAGAAAAAATTAGAGATCAGATTTTTTACAAGTTTTTGTGATAAAATTCACAGTTGAACGAAAAAGCAGACACAAAGATTTAGCGCAATTCATTTCTGTACTTTTAAGGGGGAACACCACTGTGACGATCGAAAAAAAGAGGTGATTTTCGGGAATTTTTTTGACAGGGAAAATAAAGGAATTTGAAAATCAGGTTTTTTTTTTTTTTATTTTATTAAGGGTACATTAAAGATTATTGCCCTAAATTTTTATTAAAAAATATTTAATTATTATAAAGTTATTAACAATCGCGTCGAGCACTGGGGAATATTTCCCCCCTCCACGGTCGGTTCGATAACTCAAAAACAGATCATCTGAAAATAAAAATCCAAATTGCTTTTTAATCAGTAAGGATGTAGTTATCATAACTACATTCTTACTGATTAAAAATCAATTTGGGTTTTTATTTTCAGATGATCCGTTTTTGAGTTAACGAACCGACCATGGAGGGGGAAAATTTTTCTAGTGCTCTACGAGATTGCTAATAACTTTGTAATAATTAAATATTTTTTAATAAAAATTTAGTGTAATAATCTTTAATGTACCCTTAATAAAATAAAAATAATCCGATCCCCAAATTCCTTTATTTTCTCTGTCAAAAAAATTCCCGAAAATCACCTCTTTTTTTTCGATCGTTACAGTGATGTTCCCCTTTAAAGTAATATTGTGCTTCAAAAGTTATTTTCCGTAAATCTGTAAAAAATACTTGCTAGCTGTTAGATAGAAAAAATATTTGAACCTAAAAAAATCTAAAAATTGAAAAATTTGAATTTTATGTAGCATCAAAAAGAAACTTACGACCATTTTTATTTAACAAATTTTTCTCCGAACTTGAATTAACTAATTCGCTTATTGGTTTAAAAGGATTAGATCGAATTGATGCATGTGACGGAGTAATTGACGATATCGATGGTCTCTTCTGTACATGGTTACTTATAGGTACGATAACTGATTGAGAAGCTTTTATTCGATTATTCAGTTCCACGTAATTCTTAGATATTGTATCTAATAACCATCTGCAAAAATGATACAATTAATTTTTCTAGTGTAAAATAAAATTAAATAAAGTATTAAAAAGTAAAATTACAATTTACACGAATAAATACTTACTTAAAACCATTAACTATCCCCATAGTATTTTGTTTGTAATATTCTTGTGTAATAATACATGAACAAGTTTCAACTCTCGTTGGGCATCGCATCGAATTCGCAGCATGTTCAATATCCAAATTTTCAACAAGATCTAATTCATCAATCGCACTACTTATATCTTGTTTATTAGCTAATCTATAAATTAATGTTTCAATCAAAAATATATTAACTAAATATTTTTGGTGCTTTGTGTAGTGCAACATAAATCAGACTCTTTTCACATACTAAAAAAAAAGTTAAGTTATTCAAATATTATATTAATTGAAGTGCAATTACAGTGGTGACTTCTTTAGATGTATAAAATAAAAATAAAAATTTAATATCTACAACACAGGTATTTATAGCATATAATATTAACTCTCACAATAAAATTGGTTTTCCGGCAATATGTTCATGTGATATTAATTCAGCAAATACTAATTTGTTTTCATTTAAACGTGATAGATTAGAAGCATCCACCACATATATTATACCATGTATCTATATGAGTTGACGTAAAGGAAAAAAACAAAGAATATGAATTATAATTTAAAAAATTAAGTAGTCATTGGTAGATACAATAAGATGTTATTATACAGTAATCAATGTTAAAAAATAATTTTCATAACTTACATCACCGTAATATTTTTTCCATATTGATCTTATTTGAGGTGCGCCTCCAACATCATAAACTTTTATGGAATAAAATTTATGTTTTAATGCGACAACTCTAAATCCCATAGTTGTCATAACATTATCATCAAGATCTATAAAAACATGAATGTGTTAATTAAAAAAATTTTAATTAATCATTTATTTTATACAATTTTAATCAATTGAATTGTTTATTTTTTAAAACCTTACTTACCATTAGATATAAAATTAAGAACTGAAGTTTTTCCAGAATCATCTAATCCAGCCATCAATAATACGACATTCCTACAAGTCGTTATTATAATTAATATAGAAGAAACTTTATTGAAAAAAATTAAGTTTTTCCAATTAAATAACAGTTGTAAGATAAGTAAATAACTTAAGTTTAACCTACTTTCTGATGATACGCTTTTTTCTTATTTTATTAATAATAATTCTTAAACAATTTCCCATTATCGGTAATAACGTTGAAAATAGCTTAAGACTAATAGTGATAATGTGTATGAAAATATTTTACGAATACGCCAATTTTCTCATATTTATATTTTACAAAAATCTAGAATGACAAACTTACTGTCTATTTATTTACATATTTTGCTCTACACTACTCTAATTTTTATGCTATAGTATGATGATGAGTGATGACACGCGTACAGCAAAAAAAAAAAAAATAAAACAAGAGTAAAAATATATACAAATAAGGGCCAATTTTTTCAACCCCGGGTTTAAGTATTTTATCATTATGAATATATCTATATATCTATTATATATAGATATATTCACAATGATAAAATACTTAAACCCGGGGTTGAAAAACTGGCCCTAAGTGTGTACTAAACTTAAAGTTACATTTAAAAATGGAGACTAGTAAACAAAACAAAATTTTTGGATAATACTTAATTGATGATATGTAACACATGAAAAGTTTTATTTTCAAAATTTGATTAACTTAACTACATACGTATTTATTTTCCCCCTAAATTTAAAATCTTGAATAATTTTAGTAAGTAATCAACAATTAAAAATCAAAATTTATTAATATAGGTGGGCTTATTGGAAAAAACAGCGTTTTTTGATGATATTTGAAATTAGCAGATGTTTGTTTTATTTATATAATGGATGAGTAACTATATTGTAAAAAACATATTTTATAAAATTGCGCGTATAGTTATAAGTTCTACTTTTTTATTTTTTTTACGTCTACCTATATAAAATAAATAAGTCACCATAAGTAGTCACCATCCAGTATTATCGATAACTCCTCGGAAACCATCCTAGCCACAAAACACTGATTAGGGCCAAAATTAACGGCTAAAAAAAAGCCGTAAAAATATCACTATGTGTAAAGATTGTGGCTTAAGTAGTTTCCGGGATGAATTTTTAAATTATTTATCTTTTTAAAAAAAAATAATACAAATAATTATCAGATGCTTGTTAACTTTAATATAATTTTTTTTTTTGTAATAAAAATTATAATAACTTTGTAATTGAAGTACATATAATAAATGTTGAAAAATATTTTTTAAGTTAAAACAAAGTATATAATTTTGTAAAAAATAAAGGTCATCAATTGAATCTGTCACGAATTATAAATTTTCAAAATTTTCTATTGACACGGCTGACAATAATATACTTACATATAAATAGAAAAATTGTCAAGTCAAAGCAATAACTAATTTACATTAGATAACTTTTTGTAGTAATTGCCTAAAATATCTCGAACGAATAAGAAAAATCCATCGAGCATTATAAAATTATTGATACAGTTGAAAATTTTTTTTTTTTAAGTCTTGAATAAATTTTGTAAAAAGTTAGTATTCATTTGACTTTAGCGAAGAGCATGATTGTCCTTGTTTGTTATTTTACTATAACTGAGAACGTAATTCAATTATCATTCATGATAAAATTAAAAAAAATTGTTGTAGTATAAAAGTTTCAAAAGATTTTTTTGAGTTGTAAATGTGATAGGGAGCTCGAGTTACACAATATAAAAGGATAATGTATATAAATTGTTATTTTTTTAAATAAAATTAAATGATTTGAAGCTTTCGTACAGTAATGATTTAATTGCATACATTTTTCTACTTAGTTCTAAAAATTTATAAAATATTCATTAATTTAAAAAGTTAATTTTATTTCCTTAATATACTGCAGTTGAAGTTACAAATTCTTCTGATTTTGACAAACATTTTTTATTTACAATAAATATATAAAATTTTTCGCTTCAAATGGATATAGTAATAATATAACGCGCGCTAAATTTCTTAAGATAAACTTATCAGGAATTTTCAACGTGCATGCTTCTGTCTTTGAACACAAAAAAAAATAATAAATGTATTATTGATTCTCTTGTATTCAATTCTATATATAGAGTTTAACACTTCAAATTTTATTTTTATTTTATGGTAAAAAACAGTTTCGTTTTTTTTTTTTTTTATATTTAAACTTGGTTCTTCAAAAATAGCTTAACAGATCGAGATAAAATTTAGAACTAAAACAAGAGGCTAAATAAAGAGATACGACAAAAGAGATAAATCGACCAATCAAGTAGCAAATCTTTTTGCATTACAATTAAATTTGTATAGCCAATTCGACTATTTTTTTCGAGTTTCCTATAAAAATATGTTAGTTTTTTGTGTTTTAAGGCTGAACAGTACTAAATTTATTTTCAGATTTTTATTTTTCTAATCACATCATAAATAAATTTAAAAATTAAATAATCGAAAATTTCTGAAGAAAAATATATGAAAAACTATTGTGAAAGCTTTTTATTATTTTAGTTAAAAATTTTTTCGAACTTATTGCAAAATAAAATTTTTGAAAATCTATCAAGTACTTCTTTCACGATATCCTTTTAAAACTGGCTTGATTAAATAATTTTAAAGTTATTCGAGACTTTCCAAATTTTTCAGGATTGTCAAAAATTTATTATGGTCACTCAAAAATATCTAAAGTAGTTCTAATTTGAAAACAAAAAAAAAAAAAAACACTTTGAGCATCCTGTAAAATTCAAAATAATATCAATTTGAAATTTTAAATGTAAATATTCCAATTTTGAAAAATCTTAAACTGCCCCTAAAATGTTTTTGAAGAAATACAAAATTCAGAATAATTTTCAAAGCTTCAAGAATGAAAATTACTACTAATATAGTTATCCCTTTGCGATTTTAAATAAATTTTTTCTTCCCAATTAAGTCACCAATTTCATACCCCCACCAGTGATCTTAATCCCACTTTTTCTTTCTCTCCGAAACAACTATATAAAGATTTCTTCACATCCGTTTTTGTTGTGCAAATTCATTCCGTATCTTGAAAGAGTAACATTTTTTTATATTAGAACACGCTAATTTTATTTATTAGATAATACAATCAGATTATACGTAAATATTGATAATTGATCAAATAATACTTGAAACGAAATTGCATAATTTACTTTATTTTGTGGCACATTTTTTTTTTAGGCAACCAGATCAAGAAGATAATACAAAAATGACGCAAACAATAAATTTACAATCATTAAAAGTTGGATTCATTGGTGGCGGAAACATGGCACGTGCTATAGGATTAGCTTTGATAAAAAGAAGTAAGAATTTTACTATAAAAAATTAAGTGCTTGTGTAAAATATTTTATTAATTGACTAATTTGTATCAATAGATATTTTAAATCCAAAAAATGTATGGATATCAGCACGAACAAGAGAAACACTTCAAAATTGGAACCAATTGACTTCAGAAAATCCTGTTAATACGACGTTGAACAATGCTGACATAATAATAAACAGTGACATAATATTTTTGGCTATCAAACCCCAATCACTCGTCTTGGCTATTGAAGACGCAAAAAAAACCTCTGAAGGACGTAATTTAATGTTGAATAATAAATTATTTGTGTCAGTACTTGCTGGTGTTACACTTGATACATTAGAAAAGGTGAGTTTAATTGAATAATGTTTTTATTTTCCTCAATTTCGTTGATTAAATCGTGCTCTTTTCTCAGGAAATTCAACTACATTTAGGACAACAATTACCTTTGAAAATTATCAGAACAATGCCAAACACACCGTTAAGTATTGGAGAAGGCATAACAGGTGCGTATTTCAAAAATTATTTATATGAAATTATTATTTTATCATTCATTACGTTGTATTTAATAAAAACGTGGTTTTTATTATTCAAGTATACTCTCGAAATGCCCAAGTATCTGAAAGCGATGCACTTCCATTAGTTAAAATGCTATCGCAAATAGGCATTATTGAAGAGATTCCGGAAAATTTAATCAACTCAGCCGGTGGTTTGGCTGGGTCAGGTCCAGCTTATGTAAGTTAACTAAAAAAATTCAACAAATCATTGATTAAATGAAGTTATGATATAATTATCAGCCGTAATAAAATTAAAAATTCAGGCTTACCTTATGGTGGAAGGATTAGCTGATGGAGCAGTGAAAACTGGTTTACCTCGTGCACTAGCAACTAAATTTGCCGCACAAGTATTAGTTGGTGCCGGCAAAATGGTATTACAAACTGAGAAACATCCAGGACAGCTTAAAGATGAAGTTTGTTCACCAGGTGGTACAACTATTACAGGAATGCACGCTTTAGAAACTGGAGCAGTAAGAGCATCATTGATGAACGCAGTTGACGCAGCAGTAAGAAGATCTAAGGAGCTTGGAGCTTAGGCAAAATTTTTTATATTTTTAAGAAAAATTTTTATCAGTTACTTGAAAAGCATATCTAATGCAGCATTTAAATTTGTTACACTTTAACATACAATTAGAATTTTTTCTTAATGTATATTTGCTACTGACTATTATTGTATTTATTATACAATCATAATAACTGTGAATAAAGTATTTTTAACTTAATGTATTTATTTAAGTTCATGCGCCATAAAAAATTTAAATTAATTATTATTTATTATCAACGAGTTCGTATAATTACTTAAACGAATGAAAATTATTTACAGTAATTTAAATTATTATAAAAAATACTCATATTGTTCACAATTAGAGTGATACATTCCACTTATATCCATCTCATCAGAATCCAAGCCAATAAATTATTAAATAAACTTATACTTTAGTGTATTCGACACATCGTGAAGGATCTGTTGGATAATATTCTTGGCATTTAGTCATCAATCTTTTAAGCGCTTGTATGTATTTTCTTTGGGTTTCATCATTCATTACGTGGGCTACATTTTTTGAAAAAATCTTTTCTCTTCCCGTACGTGCGTGGATACCAACCATAGTAACACCAATGGGCCACGGAGAGTTGCCGATTGCCATTTGAAGATACGCATCACTGGCCTAAATTAACAAAAGAAAAATTAGTTAATGTGTTTTTTTATGAATGTTCATATGAAAAATAATTATTTCTTTTAATTTACTGCATGATCGAAGAATTCGTATTTCAATTAACGTAAAGTACCCAGTACTTTTAACACTTATAAAAATGGAACCTGTACTTGAACAGACTTTTCGAATTGTTGTAATAAAAAATCCGTATGTTTATTATGAGTAAAATGCGCATATTATAATTATTTAATGATACAGTAATTGATTTCTGTAAGTTTTTTCAATTACAACTCAAAATAATTATATTTTTGTTAATTTAAAAATTGACATGTCGAGAATCACCGATAGATGCTATTTTTTCATGAAAAAGGTACTTAATTGTAAACCGAAAAATCAGTAAAAAAAACGACATATCATCATTTCAAGTAAAAAAAAAATTGTACCACCTAATGAAATAGTCTTTTTTAAATAATAGATATTTTTTGCAAAGACAAATTATAATTTTTATATTAAATTTTAGTGTCTAACTATACCTCCCAATTTTCAAAGCGGTACCCAGAACTTGAACAAGCTGGGGCCGTATAATTTTAACAGCACTCTAACCTCTAGAGATTTATAGATTAGTGATCAGCTTGAGATTTGTATTAATTACTGCAAATTAAATAAGTTTTGTAACTAAAAATTAGTGTAGTTAAAAATTATTGAACGTTTTTTTTTTTATTTATAATTGAAAATTTGCTTTATCATTCATAAAAAATGTAATTAAAAAGTTAAATACAAATATTTCTCATGTTTAAATGAACATATTAAATATTCACAATATTATTTTTAATATTAATCAATAATATGTTATAATTCTTTTGATATTTCAATAAAACGTTGAAAATTTTTGGTGTGCCTATTGCCATATATTTTATTAGTTCAACTACTGGTCCCGAAGTGTTCAGCTACTACGGCTTGTCAGAATTGATTGTTCAACTATTACTCCTTTCATAGTTTAACTTAAAAACGTTTTCAAAATACAAATGTTCAATTATCTTTGTTATTTTGCGCTTCAAACAATTCAAAATTGTTTATATTTTTATGAAAATCACTAATTTTAACTAATAATTACATCTTCATGTATTAAAAGTAGGGTCAAATACGTTTTACTTTGAAACTTGTTCAACTACTGGGTACTTTACCTTATATTCAATAAATATATTTATTATGATTCTAATTTGGAATGTAATTAGTTTAGCAATGATCTTAAGTAAGTTTGAAGAATAATTAATTAGGTAAACAAAACTTTTTCTACAAGATAATAAGCTACCGATAATTGTTTGGGAGTAAGGTCGACAATATTTCAACTCAATAAAAATATTTCAAATTTTTCCCTGAAGTTCTTTTAAAATAGAATAATTTAAAGGAAAAAATATTCGAAAATATTTATTTTTCGATATTTTATTCCCAAAAAAGTGGACCCTACTCCAAAAATAATTATCAAATACTTTTTCTTAATTTAATTATTTCTATCAACATCTGTGTAAAAAATCATGTCTTGGTTATTAGCTTATATATTAATGTAAATACTATGAATTAATTTTAATTTACAGCGGAAACTTACCAAAATATAATTGCGCTCTAGAAGATGTTTAACAATTTCCGTAAGACTATCAGTGATATCTTCTGGTAGTGATTTATTTTTTAACTTTCTCAACAAGGGTTTCAAGTATTCTCTTGTCTGTGCATAGGTTGCACTGGCCATTTTTCCTTTGGTGCTCATTTTTTCAGCAGCACTACGACTATTTAATTGCATACCCCACATGAGAACCAAAAATTGCAGAAATTGTGTAATTACACTCATATCAAAATCACGATCGCCTCGATTTAATTTCACGGACATTTTTTCTATATCTTCGTAAGTAACTTGTTCATCAGGTATATTAACGTCTCCTTTGTTACATTCATTAGTTGGCTTCGACGAAGATAATAATTCATTCAAATAAGCTTGATCAACTTGATCCATAGCTTCTTGGAAATCATTTCTGAATCCTTTATTAACCTCAGGCTGAAGTATTTCACACTTGCGTAGACGTTGAAAGGATTCTAATTCTGATTCTCCAAATAGTAAAATAGGTTCACTTCGCTCTCTTAGTCGTTTTATCACTTCTGGTCGTGATAACTTTTGATGCTCTACAGTATTTTCAACGGAGCCTTCAGAATTTTTGTTTTCCACTGTATTAATTGTGTCAGTGTTATTATTATTTGATTCAGAAGTTTCTACTTTATTTAATGTTAGTTCTGCTACTTTAAAATACTTGCGTTTATTTTGCTGTAAAAATTTATAATTTATATTACTATTGTTGTTGCTTTAAAATTAAATATTAGGTTAGAAAATTTTACAAAATACTTATCATTACTCACCAATAAATTACTTTCTTCTAACTCTTTACGTTTTTTTAAAATCTCTGCTTGTAAAAAATTCATAATTGTTGAAAATTAGCTACAAAATTGATTTATTGACTGTTAATTATTGAAAATGTAATTATAGTTAATATGTTTGTATTTTTTTCTGTATATACAAATAAAAAACGTAATTAAACGAGGTATAACTGAGGCAGTACTACCACCAATACGTGACTATGGAAAGTTTATAGTACAGTTCATACCTGTTGTCCCTACAATAAAAATACATGACAGTTTGAAGTTAGTCAATAGTCGAAAAAATGGGACCTGGTTCCTGATTGGTAGAATATAAACCCTCCTCAGTTACTATTGGTCAATCTCCTGGTACGTGAACATATCAATATATCGATATAAATCGAACAGGATAAATTCATTCGAGAATTTCGATAGGGGGCGCGCGAATGCGCGCCGTTAAAAATTCTAGTAAAAATAAAAAATAAAAAAAAATGACAGTAACAACAATAATTAAGTTCTAAAGTTAATACTTATTGTTAACTCATGAACCATAAGAATCTGATATAATTTGTAAATTCATGTATGCATTTGTTTATGTAACAAGCTAAACATACATACTATGCGAGACATTAATTCTTCCCGGTCAGTGCTGCCTTTGTAGGAATGGAAAAATGAATTTTTGGAAATCTCTAAAAATTAATTTGGAAATTTATAAAAATGTACTTTAATGTTGAAGGAAAAAATTATAAAAGAACTTTCGTAAAATAATAAAAAACTATAAATGGAAACACGTAAATAAAAAGAAAATGGCTTTTTACTAAATCTGTAAGTTTGGCCAACTAAAGAAAAATAAATCTCTATTTTTGAAAATTTCTTTTACTGGAAATATTATTATTTGGTATAAATTAAAAAAATCTAAATAAATAAATAAATTTCTGTGTAATTAGAAATTTATCAATTGCAAAATTAATAAAAAAAGTAATTTATATAAATGGATATCTTTTCAATATTCCGTTAAAATAAAAATAATTCTCACCTTATGGAAAATATAATTTTCGAAAAAGCTTACGTTTGTACTATAGTATTTACGGTAATTAAAAAAAAAAAATTATTTATTAATAAACATATGAATAGATGTCCGAACGATTTTATGGAATTCTGCAGAAATGGAATTCAATATTTTTAAAAACTTAAAAAAATTGAAATTCACATGAATGATGGCGATCAATGAAAAGAGAATCGGTAAATATGTGAATCTCTAAAAATGTATCTGTAAAAATGGAAACCTTTAAAAATGGAAATCTCTAAAAATGGAAATCTCTAAAAATGAAAATCCTTTAAAATAAATAATCATTTTTTTTTTATAAGCGAGAATTCCCAATGACTTTGTGAATTTCTTATCCAAAGGGAGGTATCGAGGATACCGGAAGCTCGACTACCAAGACATCTTCTCCGACGAATCTCCCGAAAAACACTACAATACATTTTATATCATCAGTTATCATGTAGGGAAGATATCTAACAAACTGGAAGCTTCACTACCAAGACATCTTCTCCAACAGTTCTTGCGGAAAACGCTAAAATACATTTTAAATCATCAGTTATCATGTAGTGAGGTATCTAGCAAACTGTCTTGGTAGTGAAGCTTCTAGTTTGCTAGATACCTCACTACATGATAACTGATGATTTAAAATGTATTTTAGCGTTTTCCGCAAGAACTGTCGGAGAAGATGTCTTGGTAGTGAAGCTTCCAGTTTGCTAGATATCTTACCTACATGATAACTGATGATATAAAATAAATTTCAGCGTTTTTTGTGAGATCCGTCGGAGAAGATGTCTTGGTAGTGAAGCTTCCAGTTTGCTAGATATCTTACCTACATGATAACTGATGATATAAAATAAATTTCAGCGTTTTTTGTGAGATCCGTCGGAGAAGATGTCTTGGTAGTGAAGCTTCCAGTTTGCTAGATATCTTCCCTACATGATAACTGATGATATAAAATAAATTTCAGCGTTTTTTGTGAGATCCGTCGGAGAAGATGTCTTGGTAGTGAAGCTTCCAGTTTGCTAGATATCTTACCTACATGATAACTGATGATATAAAATAAATTTCAGCGTTTTTTGTGAGATCCGTCGGAGAAGATGTCTTGGTAGTGAAGCTTCCAGTTTGCTAGATATCTTACCTACATGATAACTGATGATATAAAATGTATTGTAGCGTTTTCCGCGAGAACTGTCGGAGAAGATGTCTTGGTAGTGAAGCTTCCAGTTTGCTAGATATCTTACCTACATGATAACTGATGATATAAAATGTATTGTAGCGTTTTTCGGGAGATTCGTCGGAGAAGATGTCTTGGTAGTCGAGCTTCCGGTATCCTCGATACCTCCCTTTGGATAAGAAATTCACAAAGTCATTGGGAATTCTCGCTTATAAAAAAAAATGATTATTTATTTTAAAGGATTTTCATTTTTAGAGATTTCCATTTTTAAAAATTTCCATTTTTACAGATACATTTTGAGAGATTTCCATTTTTAGAGATTCATTTATCGATTCTCTTTTTATTGATCGCCATTCATGTGAATTTCAATTTTTTTAAGTTTTTAAAAATATTGAATTCCATTCCTGCAAAATTCCATAAAATCGTTCGGACGTCTATTCATATGTTTATTAATAAATAATTTTTTTTTTAATTACCGTAAATACTATAGTACAAACGTAAGCTTTTTCGAAAATTATATTTTCCATAAGGTGAGAATTATTTTTATTTTAACGGAATATTGAAAAGATATCCATTTATATAAATTACTTTTTTTATTAATTTTGCAATTGATAAATTTCTAATTACACAGAAATTTATTTATTTATTTAGATTTTTTTAATTTATACCAAATAATAATATTTCCAGTAAAAGAAATTTTCAAAAATAGAGATTTATTTTTCTTTAGTTGGCCAAACTTACAGATTTACTAAAAAGCCATTTTCTTTATTTACGTGTTTCCATTTATAGTTTTTTATTATTTTACGAAAGTTCTTTTATAATTTTTTCCTTCAACATTAAAGTACATTTTTATAAATTTCCAAATTAATTTTTAGAGATTTCCAAAAATTCATTTTTCCATTCCTACAAAGGCAGCAATGACCGGGAAGAATTAATGTCTCGCATATAGTATGTATATATGTACATACCTAAAAACATTGATTAATTGGTCTATGATACTGACTCTATACTTAACCTGTTTTAATAGTTTTAAAATAAAAACGATCGCCTTGTTATTATTGTTGAAATTTGTGTAAATATAAAACATTATTCTACAAAATAATAATTATGGCTGGCTCAGCATTAAGACGATTAATGGCAGAATATAAACGTAAGAATTCTTGTGCTTTGAGTAAATATTTATTAATACATTTATCTCGTGTAAATATCTATATCTTTGAATAATCAAATTCAAAATAACTTTTAGAATTGACATTGAATCCACCCGAAGGGATTGTTGCAGGTCCAATTCATGAAGAAAATTTTTTTGAGTGGGAAGCTCTCATATCGTATGTATAAAAAATTAATTTTATTTAAAAAAATCAACTACATTCAAAAGTTTTAAATCAATCCTATTAACAAAATTCCAACTATTGAATTAGCAAATGCCTTAACTTCAATAATTTTATCTACAGTGGGCCAGATGGTACTTGTTTTGAAGGTGGAATTTTTCCTGCCAAATTAATATTTCCACCTGACTATCCACTCAGTCCACCGAAAATGCAATTCACTTGTGAAATGTTTCATCCAAATAGTAAGATATTCTTAAATTATAGTAGTTCTTTCAGTTTTTAGGTCACTACAAGTAAACTGTTATTAAATAATTAACTTACAATTGAAACACAATCAAAAAATTGGTAGTTAAGTAGCTTTTTAAATGGTCTGCTTATCGTTTAAAAGTTAAACATCAATATTTTGAGTTTATAAGATGTAGATAACCAACGAAAATCTTTTTAATTTGATTGTTAATTGAATTCCATCGAATTAAGTGCTCATTTTGTAGACTTTGATTAACATTTACTATTATTGATTCATAAAATTTATATGCCAAAGCTTAAGCTGGATGGCAATAATAAAAAAATGGCCATTCGGCAGCCGAAATGGAAGTAGATTTCATAATGAATAGAAAAAAAAAAGTTTGGAAAATCCAAAAGTGCACGACTCATAATGCTCATTTAATTATAAAATATTAAAAAAAAAAAA